TCTAAACATTTTACAGACGAAGAAATTGAAAAAATACTAGTGAACATCAAAGATAGATAGATAGATAGATAGATAGATAGATAGATAGATAGATAGATAGATAGATAGATAGATAGATAGATAGATAGATAGATAGATAGATAGATAGATAGATAGATAGATAGATAGATAGATAGATAGATAGATAGATAGATAGATAGATAGATAGATAGATAGATAGATAGATAGATAGATAGATAGATAGATAGATAGATAGATAGATAGATAGATAGATAGATAGATAGATAGATAGATAGATAGATAGATAGATAGATAGATAGATAGATAGATAGATAGATAGATAGATAGATAGATAGATAGATAGATAGATAGATAGATAGATAGATAGATAGATAGATAGATAGATAGATAGATAGATAGATAGATAGATAGATAGATAGATAGATAGATAGATAGATAGATAGATAGATAGATAGATAGATAGATAGATAGATAGATAGATAGATAGATAGATAGATAGATAGATAGATAGATAGATAGATAGATAGATAGAGAGATAGAGAGATAGAGAGATAGAGAGATAGAGAGATAGAGAGATAGAGAGATAGAGAGATATATAGAGCATCAGATAGCATCACAGAGAGAGATAGAATGAAATGATAGAGAGAGCATTAGAGAGAGAGAATGAAATGATAGAGAGAGCATTAGAGAGAGAGAATGAAATGATACAGAGAACATCAGAGAGAGAGAGAGAGAGAGAATGAAATGGTACAGAGAACTTTACAGAGAGAATGAAATTGTACAGAGAGCATCAGAGAGAGAGAGAGAGAGAGAGCCTTAGAGTGAGAGAATGAAATCACAAAGAGAACATCTAAGAGAGAGGGAGAGAGAGAGAGAATGAAATGATACAGAGAACATCTAAGAGGGGAGGAGAGAGGATGAAATGATAAAGAGAACATCAGAGAGAGAGAGAGAGAGAGAGAGAGAGAGAGAGAGAGTGGGAGAGAAAAATAACATAATTGGCCGCGAGAGAGAAAGTGAGATAGAGAGAGAGAGAGTGGGGTGGGGAGAAGTAACATCATTGTCCGTCACAGAGAGAGAGAGAGAGAGAGAGAGAGAGAGGGAGAGAGGGAGAAGTAACATCATTGTCCGTCACAGAGAAAGAGAGAGAGAGAGAGAGAGAGATAACATCATTGTCCGTCATAGAGAAAGAGAGAGAGAAGTAACATCATTGTCCATCACAGAGAAAGAGAGAGAGAGAGAGAGAGAGAGAGAGAGAGAGAGAGAGAGAAGTAACATCATCGTCCGTCACAGAGAAAGAGAGAGAGAAAGAGAGAGAGAAAGAGAGAGAGTGTGTGTGTTTAAATGTGTCTGAATCAGACAGCATTAGGAAGTCAAAGAGAACGAGATGACCTCTGACAGAAAGAAGCTCTGAGAGAAAGGAATAGACTGACAGACACGGAATAACAAACACAATAACTAAGTATTACAGGAAGAAAGACTTCATCAGCATCAAACTGTTTACTCCTCCAGCCAATTGTGTGGTCACCTAATGCCGGGTCCTAAAGTCGGCTTACAAGTCTTTTATAGTGACAGAATCGATTGAGTACTGACTTAGTAGTTCATATCAAAGGCTGCTTACTAGTAGACCTAAGTAGATGGGGATTTATACCATACCTGTAGTGCCGTGTCTCGTAAAGGCGTGTCTTTAGGCATTAAATTAGAATCAGAATAGCGTGTACTTTTTTGAGTACAATTCCGTCTTTGGTGATTAAACGTTTGCGTCAACAATGAGCTGCAAATCTGGCGTGGGACATTTAGCATTGGCATACCCGATAGCTGCCTTATGAATTCTTACTTTGCGTGTGCAAGCTAAAAATTTTGGTGCGACTGACAAGTTTTTAGTAGTTTTCAAAGTGGTCAGCGAAGGAAATGTTGTATGTGATTTCAGTTTGCACTGGTACGGGACAGTCAGGGCTGAGTGGGTCGACCTGTGAGGCAAATTCATTGTTGAAAAAAAAAGTGCGAATCCGCCATTACTTGAATCCACTCTGAGAGCAATGGACGAATGTTGAATGTTGATTTAACAATCAACATCACATCACTAGGGCCACTCCCATAAGCGCTTTGACCCCACCTTCACAGCAGGCGAAAAGTTCCAATTCCGATGGCACCTGTAACTATCGTATTGTGTATCCGCCTCGCCTTTTCCTTGAATGTTGAGCGTTGGCCAGATTCTCTAGTTACCCCTCGCAGCGCCATTCTCCTCGGACCGTAATAATCTGTGTGCGCCTCCGCACTGTTCACTCTCTCGCAAAGGGCCCTCACAACGTCCAGCTTGTCATACATCAACTGACCACCAAATGGTGCAGAACCGACCAGTCTATCTGCCTGAAAGTTTCCCAATACACCGGCATTACCTGGAGAAAATATCCAAAAGTATGCTAACTACCCGTCACCTCTAAAGCGATGCTTCAGATATGTATAATCATACCTTTTCTTCCACTTTAAGCTATGCGACTTACCATCATTCGCATTTATGACCACACACACACACACACACACACACACACACACACACACAATAATAACAATAATAATAATAATAATAATAATAATAATAATAATAATAATAATAATAATAATAATAATAATAATAATAAATTAGTAAATACAGGAAGATAACTTCATTGGTTTCGTTTAAAAGTTCAAGCAACAGATGCAGTTGAGAACATGTTATGCATTTTCCACACTATATTAAATAATTACATTTAAATAGATTGGATTTTTGTGTTTTATGTACAATTGTATAACCCGTTTGGAGAAAACTATTACTGAAAAATCTAAATTCGACTTACAACTAGTTTGTCCTGTGACCTATTTGTCGAAAAGTAACTCGTAAGTCGAAGAGACTCCGTGTATCCTTAATTAATAAACCTTTTTTTTTTTTTCGTTTACCGCTTTAAAGTTTGGCGGAAAGTCATGGCTGTTCGTACATTTTTGGATTTACTCTTCTTCTAGATCTTAAATCTTGCTTGTGTATCCGTTTTACAGATGTGGCTTATTTGTGTGCATTTTTTTTTTTTTTTTACGTATCCAGAAACCATGAGTTGTAAACCCTTTGGCTCGGTACTATGGATATCGCAACCCTTCGGCCTTGATTCCATTATAGGTACCATTAATCTGGGAGAAATGTGGCTTTTCTGCCTACCTCCGGGAGCGAACCCGGACCACAAGGAGTTCGTCACCCGTCCGCCGCGAAAGTCAGGTTTAACCAACTTCGCTAGAGAGCCGGGCATTTGTGTGCATGCTTGTGGTTCCTTACCTCAGGCGTATGCACTCCGACTTCAAAGGAAACACCCCTAATTAGCTTTTGTGACATGCTTGTAAGGGAGCAGGGGGTATATCCCCCCTGCCCCCCCCCCCTCCTCCTTTCATGGGACCCCGGAACTTACACAAGATGGTGAGGGGGGAAGTATTGGGATTCGAACCAGGAAACATCTAAGTTTGAGGCACACGCCCTAACTTCTCAAGCTGCCTCCATGATTCCCCCCCCCCCCCCCAAAAAAAAAAAGAACAAAGAACGGTTCTAAGTGAAACAATTAACAGCGAGGATATGATTGCTGCAATGGGAAATAACAACATCAATTTAACACAGACAACAAGGCAGATTTTCTTTGTCTGTCTGCCAGGTTGGCGGCTTTCAACATTACTTGTCTGGTGTGAGTAGCCCTTGTCTGTTTATCGCGGTGGAGTCTGCAAAGTAATTGTTTCTTTCACAGTTACCTTCTTTCTTACCAAAGGGGTACTGTTTATTCATTCTTTTTATCTATCTCGCTCTACCCCTGTGCGCTTGTCAGTTAATATCTTCTGTCGTTTTCTGGATGGATGGTCAATAGCGACTACACACATACACATAAGCGACCATACACATACACACACACAGAGATGATGTAGCAGCAGCAGAAGAAGAAGACGAAGAGGAAGAAGAAGAAGAAGAAGAAGAAGAAGAAGAAGAAGAAGAAGAAGAAGAAGAAGAAGAAGAAGAAGAAGAAGAAGAAGAAGAAGAAGAAGAAGAAGAAGAAGAAGAAGAAGAAGAAGAAGAAGAAGAATTGAAAAAGAAGAAGAAGAATTGAAGAAGAATTGAAGAAGAAGAATTGAAGAAGAAGAAGAAGAAGAAGAAGAAGAAGAAGAAGAAGAAGAAGAAGAAGAAGAAGAAGAAGAAGAAGAAGAAGAAGAAGAAGAAGAAGAAGAAGAAGAAGAAGAAGAAGAAGAAGAAGAAGAAGAACAAGAACAAGAACAAGAAGAAGAAGAAGAAGAGGAACAAGAAGAAGAAGAAGAAGAGGAACAAGAAGAAGAGGAACAAGAAGAAGAGGAACAAGAAGAAGAGGAATAAAAAGAAGAAGAAGAAGAAGAAGAAGAAGAAGAAGAAGAAGAAGAAGAAGAAGAAGAAGAAGAAGAAGAAGAAGAAGAAGAAAAAGAAGATATTATACACATGTAACAACATGTTTTGTATTTTTTTACATCTAATGTTTAGTGAAAGAAGAGAAGAAATACTGACATTTTAAAAGATCTGAACATCAAGGAAGATTGGCTAATAAACAGCATCCTGTCTCGGAAGCAGAAATAGTCTGGTCATATCATGTGCTATGGTTGATTTGAAAAAATAGTAGCAGAAGGCATTGTCCCAGAAAGGAGGGGCAGGGGCCGACTAACACGAAGATGGGAACAGGAAATAAGTAACTCCTTAAAAATGAAAGTACATGAGGCGGGGGAGCTGGCGAGAGACCGATCTTCTTTCAGGCAGACCATAATGAGAGCGACGTTCTGCAAAGGACCTGCTACATGATTGCTGGATGTTTAGTGAGGGACCCATGAACTTAGTACAGTCGTGTAACTCTTTTGGACATTAGCCTGGATCTTGTTTGGCTAAAAAGAATTAATTAAACCTAACTTGTCATAGAAACTAACCAACAATGTTGTCCATTTTATCCTTTCAGGCATCCATTATTTCCCCTTTTGGCCCTCATTTTTGAAAAATGTGAGCTGGCAACATGCACGCCGCGGGAGCCGGGAGTGACTGGAGGCGATGTATGCTCCTCCGACTCCTTCAATGAAGACATCGCTGTGTTTAGTAAACAAGTTTTAGTAAGTGACTGTTGTTATTTACGTATGTTTAAGTTTTTGTTTGTTTTAGAATAAGAAACACGGAATTTTCCCCTGCAACTTGGCACCTGAAATTGTGTTTCGTTGTTTATTACACAGCTACAGCTAGGGTGCTGCGTGGTCTCGAAGCGTGGCGACTGCTTTGAGTGTTAGATGTTCTGGGTTCAATCCCCGGTGAGGACTGGGATTTTTTTTTCACGTGAACTTGGACTTTAAGTAATTCCCCCTTGTCTCTGGGTAGTGAGATCAGACGCCCGTGTGCATTGTTGTGCACGTAAAATATCCCGCGGCAGTTAGAAATCGAAAAGAGTAGCCTAACGGCGGCGCCAGGACAAGATTTTTAGTTAAAAATCTACCCAAAGTATTTCAGGATCCTCGCCGGTGCTACAGTGCCTGTGCACGGTGCTGAGCTTTTTCGGACTCAGGCTTGATTTAGAAGAAGAATGAAGCACTTATGGGTTACTACCCGTGTGCCATGATGTTGAGAGAGAGAGAGAGAGAGAGAGAGAGAGAGAGAGAGAGAGAGAGAGAGAGAGAGTTACACAGCTGCTGTGGCAGCTTCCAGTTGGTGCAGCGAATATCGTGGAGCAAAAAACTTTGATATAAATATATCAATCATCCCCCTTTGGGATACAATTATTTGTTATTTGAAGCCCCACCCAGGCTTCTGCCAGGGTCCCTGAATATAGCCGTGGCATAGATATGGCCTAGCCATAGATATGGTCTAATGGCTGAAAGGGGTTTCTGTGACCTCTCCACTGATGATCCTCATCCGCATGGTGGCACTTTGTGTAACCTGGTGTTTGTCTGTGATGTCTTAGTGGGGTAAAGAGTCATTCAGTCACTAACTTTGATTTCATCAATGCATTTATTGTTACAATTTTCAAAGAAAAGTGATTTAAAAAATATCCTAATATTGTTAAGGTGACAGAAAACTAAAACCAACACCGGGTGTGAACCTTTGAAAACACTAGGCGTGAACCTACGGAAACCTCGTGCGTAGTACCAACAGTACAATTATGCTCGCCAAGGGTCATATAGTACCAGAATTTACGAAAGGATCCTCTTCGGCAGCCCGGATAGGGATTTGAACCCCAAACCTGCCAGTCACTACACTTTTGTAACTCCTCATTACAAATAGCGAATACGTTATATCTCTCTAGTCATATTTCCCAGTTGGTGATTGCCCTGTCAGACACAGTCATGCCTTCAGTGACAGATTCTCAAATACCGTAACAGTGAGTGATTCTCTTTAGTGACGTTTCTGACACACGTTAGTGATTCAACCGTCACTGACTTTCCATCATCGACCAGTACGTCAACGTCACACTTTCTTTCCCTGAAGCGGCATATCCCTTTAGGTCAACTTTGGGTGTTGCGTCTCAGATGTGCCGAACTTGGCCTTCGTCATTACCTTGTCTTATCATAAAAAACCACGCACGAATGGATACGATTCAGACCTGTTGTGTGCATTGATTGGCTCTCCTACTGAAATGGCAAGGGGTGAAATTTGGGTTGCTTTAAAATAGAAATCCACGATGACACACGAGTGCCTATCCATACACACCCAGCCACATTGATCCACATCCATGCACACCCATACACTTCCATCCACACCCGTCCATACCCATCCACATTTATCCATCTATTAATTTATTAGTGCAACTTACGGTATACATAAAATTACACATGTTTTAATTCATATTAGGTACACTTTTCTGAATAGTGAATTGGTTACGTCATGTACTGTCATATACTCATTTATGTAACTGTTACTCAGTTCATAAGGGTTTTACTGTCAGGTGGTCAGTCTTCTGCATTAGCCTGTCATGAGTTAGCTTACTTACTTAGTCGATCCTCTTCTACCCGGATATAGGGTTCAGGCAGGTTCAGTGCGAAGACAATGGCTTGAATCATTACAGAAGTCCACTGTGCGTGGAGTCACCTTTATTTTTGTTCCAGGATACGCAGGCGTCGATGGAAATGAAAGAGCTGACAGGTTGGCTGAATCCGCTATCACTACCGACGGTCAGCCTATGGGTCATGCTGATATTATCAATTCCCTCAGAGAAATGGGAAGGATAGAGGACTTTGGTGGCAGTGAATCAACATCACTCGCCAGAATGGCAGACTTGGGAATTAAGATCAGTACAGCAAAAAACGAGACGCACACCAGACACGCGAGAAGACTTGTTAATCAACATAGAACTGGTACTATTAGCCATCGGACGTTGGGGTTCATACTGAGGGGAGGATCTGAGCACCTATGGACATGTCCGGAGTGCGATGAGGATAACCCAACTAACTAACTAACTAACTAACTAACTAACCGGATATAGGGGTTTACCTGAGAGATCGCCAGACGTCTCTATCAGCAGTTTTCTTTCTGGCTTTGTTCCATTCCAGTCCTCTGTCAGTTAGGGACTGTCGGATGCTGTCTTCCCTTGAATTAGACGAACACAATATTTCATCGTATGCAGGATAGACTAGCAAAATAATCACCACGTGTTGCTGAACGTGTGAAATAATTTCCAAAACAATATCCACGTTTGTGTTTTAAAGTAAATTGTTTCTGTCAATTACTGTATATTCTAGTTTTACGGAGCGGCATCCGTGGCTTAGGCGTTGCGAGTCTGAATCGCAATTCCAACATACCGTGATCGACACCCACTGCTGGCTGCGTGGATGTTTATCATGGCACGGGGCGACGCAGGTCGACCCAGCCTTAAATGGCTACCAGGAAAGCTGTCCTGGGAAAGTAAAGATGGCCGCGTAATGCTGACCACATTACATACCTAGTGCCGATTGGTCTGTAAAAATATGGAGAAAAGATATAAACCCGAACGAGCAGTATTTAGCAAGCTTCACAATATAACAAATACAAACAAAACGTGAACGTTGCGGCTATTGAGCCTTCATCAGCACATACAAATGAAACAATACTACACAGATACACGAAACCACTTAGCTGGTATCTCGAAACAGCCGGGTCGGTTGTTTCTCAGCAGAATGACTGTAAAAATATGGATGTTCTTCCCATATGCCTGATGCACCTACAGGCGTAAAAAGGAATCTTTCTTCTTTACTCTAGTTTCTAGGAGTGCACATATTACAAGTCCGGCAGAAATCAACTAAATTCGCCGCTCTGAGAAAACAGTAGCACCTGTGCAATTGTAAATCATAAAATCATAAGTACGTGAGAAATTTAAGATCACATGCGAGAAAAAACAAAAACAAAAACTTGTGTTCCTCCATACAGGAGTTTTCAAGATATTTGCTACAGCTTGAGGGCAGGACTTTTGTAACCGACTATTGTTTGCGATTGCTTTCTGAATATTTAAGTACTCGTGTTGTTGGCATCTTTCCCTCCTTTCAGACGATAGTGTTAGATTGTGCTATAAGGATCCGCGTTAGCAGAGTCGATAGGAGACTCACTTTAAAATCAAGCGGTGACTCGCTGCAGCATAAGACCGGTATTCGGAACCGGGCGGTTCCGGGGTTCACCCAACCTCTAGGTAATGGGTACCAGATTTAACTCTCTAGGGTAAATAGAGGAACGTCGCTGTAGCTACGGCCTTGCGTGCGGGCGGCGAAACAGGCGGACAGTTTCTTATCAGCTGTCTGTACTGGTGGCAGAGCACTTACGGTTTATAATCGTACAATGACGCTGGTTTGCTTGTCCCGACTTTACCTTTACTTTACCCTTTTAAGGATGCAGGGGAGTAACAGCCCATAGCCAGGGCGAGTGTGACTAGCAACGCCGCTGGCTTTAAGATAAGTCTTCAACAATTAGAGCATGTGGTTTCAGGACCATTGTTGAATTAACAAGTATTAAACGTTTTTTCTCTGAGACGACTAGCTCTTAACCTATACACAGCAATGTTTTCCTATATTTATATCGGCTTCCTGATTTTTCCATGTCATGCAACATGGTCTATGGCATTTCTACCTCCTGATCCTATCGCAATACTTGTATCATTAATATCCCACTTGCACACATCTTTATATCGCACCTAGCAACAGTCCTTAAGAAAGAAAAAAAAAGGCCTTTGAGCTGAAATGCTGTGGAAAAATTCTCAGAATACTATGGACAAAGAAGAGAAGAAAAACCGTCATTTTAAAGATCTGACCATCAAGGAAGATTGTTTAATAAACAGTATCTTATCTTGGAAACTGAAAAATTGTGGCCATATCAAACACAATAGCGGATTGGGAAAAGTTATAGCAGAAAGTATAGTACCAGGAAGGAGGGTCAGGGGTCGACCCACAAAAAGATGTTCACAGGATATGTCACTCCATGGATATGAAAGTACATGAGGCGGGAGAGCTGACGAGATACCGAGTTTCTTTCAGGCAGACCGTGATGAGAGCGACGTTCTGCAAAAGCCCTGCTACATAATGATGATGGTCGAGCACGAGATTTTCTTCACATACGTAATTCACAATTCAGAAGGTTAGACTCTCACGCCATTATCAAAATCAGTGGACAGGAGAGCACTGATGTAAAATGAAGTCTGTCCCGTCTCGTGTAAATATGGAAAGAGATTGTTTGTTTTGTTTGTTTTAGTATCCCGAAGCCACGAGTCTTTGTTAACCCTTAGGCTCGGTATTATGGATATCGCAACCTTGATTCCATTGTAAATACCGTAAATCTGGGAGAAAATGTGGCTTTCCTGCCTACCCCCGGGATTGAACCCGGACCACAATGAGTTCGTCACCCGGTCTCCGCGCAATCCGGTTTAGCCAACTACGCTAGAGAGCCGGGCCATGGAAAGAGATAAAACCGAACTATAAGTAGCTTAATGAGCCTCGCAAAATAACAAACACAAACAAATGTAAACGTTGCGGTTACAGAGCCTTCATCAGCATATACGTAAGTCAAACAATACCACACGTATACACACAATCACGTAAAGACCGCTTTCTTCTTCACTTTGATTGAGCGTCACTCAGGCGTAACCCGCGCCAGTAGTGGCACTTTCTGTGGGTCCGTCCACCCACCCAAGCCTGGAAACCCCTCTGTGCACGAGAACACACAACACGTCACTAGCGACGCACGTACAAAATTAAAAAAAAAATTATACACAGCGACGCCCCGCAGTTTTCGCCATGCGCCCGACAAAACTGTCAACTTTTTCATTTCCTTTAAACACTCCTGGCTTTCCCCGCCTCTGTAGGGCACTCAAACCGTAACGTGAAAGTTTAACCACAGGGTTCCGAACTCTTTTAGCCACTTCTTATTGATCGCACCGCGCAACACTAAGTGACGCCTAGACCACAAACCCTCGCGACACACTCGGATCCCGCCAACTGCAGACGCTACCTTTCCTTTTGATCGTCTGCACATGCTTCTCCGACTGCTGTTGGTTCTAATCCTGCCTAATTAGTAGAGATGCCGGCAAACACCCAGGCATACCCCTTTCTTGAATGATCAATTTCTTGTAGCAATCAACATTTCTTGATGATTGGTTGATGTCTGGCAATGTCATGACGTCACTGCTGTTTGATCGATTCAAAAACATTTCTAAAAGACAAAGAGACGGGACAAGTGCGAGAGAATAATTGAAAACTTTTCGAGTAGGCACATGAATGGGAAAAATGTACTATAAATCCACAGGAATACGTTTTTTTTAAAGCGCAAACAAAACAACAGGATTAAAAAGCCACACACAAAACACACACACACACACACACACACACACACACACACACACACACACACACACACATAACACTATACAAGTTATCATTATCATAGTTATCCGGAGAGCGGCTGACTGAGTGTTTCATCGTCAGGCTCCCATACGAAAGACCACGGTTCGACTCCCCGGTAAAATGATGTAGTTTTCCTGTCGCATTAAACTTCCTAAACTGCACAGTTCGTGGCGACAGCATTAAACATGCAGCCCTAAAACCCTAAGTTCACGACCCCTTATCTACACTGCCCTACAAATGTAGTATACACAGTAGTGACCGTTAAAAAAAAAAATCATAGTTATGTACACTGAATGACTGCGTTTGCATTTTTGACGCTCCATGGAACTTGATCTGTTATGTCAAGTGTCTTGTTTATAACAATATCTGCCCGGCTCTCTAGCGGAATTGGCTAAACCGGATTTCGCGGAGGCCGGGTGACGTACTCCTTGTGGTCCGGGTTCAATCCCGGGGGTAGGCAGGAAAGCCACATTTTCTCCCAGATTTACGGTATTTACAATGGAATCAAGGCCGAAAAGTTGCGATATCCATAATACCGAGCCTAAGGGTTAACAACTCATGGCTTCTGGATACTAAAACAAACAAACAAACATAACAATACCTAAGGAACTCTAGCCTAATTCTCTGTGCGCCTTTCCGCTTACATGGACATTCTCCATTGTTTATATTTGTATAGACTAAAAGGCAAGATGTCGGCTCTGTGGCTAAGTCGACGCGAACGCTTCGTAATACCGGGGTGCCGGGTTCAATCCCAGCTGCGGGCCATGTTCCTTGCGTTGGTTTCGACAGTGGTATCAAGAAAGCCGACCCTCCAGAAAGCAATGACAAACTACTAGATGAAAATTTGCCTAGAAAAACCACACAACAGCTAGGGGCAGTTGGGGTTGGTTCTGCAAAGTCCTGTAAAGGATACGCAACTAACGTATAAGGCAAGATAGAAAAAGTATCTAGCCTAAAGTGAAGTAAGTAAAGTAAAGGAAAATTTTCCATGCCTTTAGGCGTATTAGGCATATAGGGCTAGACCTATATTTTATAGACCACTCGGCACTTCGTGAGTGATGTGGTCAACATCACACCGGCCGCCTTTGCTTCACAGGACTGTACCTCCTACCCACAAGGCTGGGTCGACCTGGGAACCAAGGTTATTTTTGAAAAAAAGTCTTGCTCCTATCAGGATCCGAACCCACGACCTTCCAATCCGCAGGCGAGCGTCTAGCCGCTAAACCACGGCAGCTGCTAAATCCACTGAAAAAAAAAGCACACGACTGAAGCAAGGCACACAGATAATCGGTTCTATATCTGTCCATAGTAAATACGTGAAGGAGACTTTTCAACGTTTTCAGTCATATAGGGCACATAGGGCTAGACCTATATTTTATAGGCCAATCTGCACTTGGTGTGTGTCCAGGTTTTGGCCAGGGTAAAAGACATAACACTCTTTTAAACACCATACAGAATTGAAAAGGGCGAGCGTAAGAGAGCAGGAGATAGTCAGCGATATAAGTGGGAGGTCAACATTAAGAAATGGACATACAGCAGTCTTAGAGAACAAGAGGCAAGAGTGTGTTCAAGATCTACAACAACTAACCTCACTTGTGGAGAAGGCACCTGCATGATTAATTAAGCGTCACAGAGAGGGATTGGGAGTAGTTTCCTATCGTTTGCTAGTTGCGTACCTTGTGTTAGTTACTCTTTTGTAGTGTCTCTTTTACTCCATCTATCCATTACTTTCTTGGTCGACCTCTTGCCTTGTAACCTTCTGTTCTCATGTAGCACGTTCTAGCTGCTGGCTGATTTTGTTCCATACTGACCACATGACCAAACCTTGTGCTTCTTTGATGTATGAAATCATTTACTGGGAATGTGCCTATTATTGTTCTTCGCCCCGCCCCCCCCCACCCCCCTCCCCACCACCCCAACCACTACCACCACGACAACCACCACCACGACAACCACCACCACCACTGAAGCATTTCTTAATATAAAACTAAAACAATGCAAATATCGGCTTGTGAGCCGCCGTGTTCCGTGACAATACGCTCGCCTGCGGTCGTATAGATACTGGCTTGGAATCGCATCGAGTTTTTCTTTCTTTCTAAAAGTGACTTGGGGTCGACCCATCTAACATGGATACCGCGTGAAATCCTGGAAAGTAAAGGCGGTCGGTGTGGTGTTGACTACATCTGCCACCGAGTGCCAATTAGTCTATAAAATATTGGCCTAGCATTATATACGTAATATAGTAGAGGTCGTAAACAAAGTACTTTTCTGGATATCTTCTTCCTTATCGTTCGTTTTTTAGATGTAACTGTGTTGTGCCTGTGTTGTGCCTGCATAGCTGCGATATTTGCACTTTCGACCGACGCATCCGATCTCATCGGGCATTGCCCTGCCTCATTGTTGTATAAGTATCAAAACGATAACTGATCAGAATGATAACTGCTGAGAATGATAACTGATCAGGACGACTTGGAAGGCAAAGCCGGGCAACAACCGCCTGCAGAAGTCGGAGGTGTCGGCTGAAATTTCGAAGCTATGCTGTAAACAGACACATTGCATTTACATCTTCGGATGAATGCAAAAGACGAAGACTGATCACAATAAACAATTTAAAAAAATATATGTACAGAACAAAAAGATGACTGATGTAAAACATACATAAATACATCCACTTTCTCATTTCAGGCGCGGTCAGAAAAGCCGCTGTTTTCATCCAATCACGAATTAGACAGCTTGGTAAGTAATAAATAACTAGCACTGGCTGTGTGTTTCAAACTTACTACCTTCCACAGAGGTACTTATAAACTGTCAGAATGACTTTATATGTGTATATATATATATATATATATATATATATATATATATATATATATATATATATATATATATATATATATATATATATATATATATATATATATACACACATATAAAGTCATTCTATATATATATATATATATATATATATATATATATATATATATATATATATATATATATATATATATATATGCGTGTGTGTGTGTGTGTGTGGATTCTGCAGATGAAACATCTTATGGCTCAACGGACAAGAAGGCTCTGTGGAGAGCTTCGAGCAAGGTAGGACACTTAGGACGCCTTGGTCATCCATTGTACCTAGGTCCATTTCCAGTCGTCTTGACATTGTCCTGCCATTGGATCAAGGTGGACACAGGCGATAGAGCAGTAGCCAGTCTTGCTGCTGCTGTACAGGACCGTTTCGGATGGCCTTCATCCCTCATGCATGGCGCATCAGCCTGCGAGGCAGCGCAGGTTGCACAGGCAGACAAACTCAGGCAGACTAGAAAGAACCGTATACCTAATCCCACACTTACTGCGGCTTCCACCTGTTGCCTCCACTGCTCAAAAACTTCCCAGGCTCATATTGGACTAATCGGCCAACTTGGTACTCATAATCATTGATCAGTGCTATATTGAATGTGGTCTTCATTCACTCGTGATGGACGAACAAAAATATATTTATATATATATATATATATATATATATATATATATATATATATATATATATATATATATATATATATATATATATAAACTACTGAATGTGCATTTGCCCAGAAACCCCACTGCAGTCCTAAGATACTGCAGTGTTTTCTGCAACGTCATAAAAAGGACACCAATTAACAACATATAAATAAGCGTCTGAATGGCAAGTAACAACATGTGTAAAATAAAGGTAAATGTAAAACCTGGTTAACGCCAATCCCAACGGGTATTACTAATGAAATGCTTGTTTTACAGAATTTTGTTTTATACATCCCTGCTGGTACCACAACTCTCGTTGTTTGTCAGTTCGAATGTTACTCCTAATGGAATTAGTTTTAACGAGGTTGTACGGTGTCTTAGGCGTTGCGAACGCCCTTTTTAATGTCGGAATGCTGGGTTCGATACCAGCTACTGACGGTTTGTCTTGCGTTTGTTTCGACAGTGGAACCCAGAGTTGCTCGTACAGGAAGCAATGGCAAACTACTGAAAGTAACATTTGCCTAGAAAAACCACAACAGCCACAAAACGATAGGGTTGGTTCTGTAACGTCCTGTTCTGTTCTAGTATCCAGAAGCCATGAGTTGTTAAAAC